CTCGAGCCGTAGAGGAGAAGATGAGGAAGAGTCCGAGGAGTCGGAGAGCGAGTCTTTCTAATAGTTGTGGTTACATTGTTCGCCTTTTCCTTGTTGGTTGCTTGTTGTTGCTTTTGTGCTTGCTTTGTTTGTAGCCTTGTGGCTTAGTTACCTTTGTAGTGGTAGTGGTGTTTTTTGTTGGTTGTCTTGTCCTTAGTGTTTGGGTAGAAGTAGATGTTGGTGCTAAGAATAGAGTTTGTGATGCTCAATCTACCTACTTGTTTTGTTCTTGACAATTCTTGAATCGTTATGCCCTTCTTTGTTTGAAATCCTTGTGGAACCTTTTGAGTTTGACCAAAAGGATTCGTTCTTGAATCTCTTGTCACAATGTTGTTTCTTACCACCGCTTGTTTCTAATTCGTCGTACCCAAGCTTCGGGGACGAACCTTCTTTGAAGGGGGAGAGGATGTGACACCCCAAAAATCCACATTCAATCCATGGATTAATTGAGTAATTAATCCTATTTCATTTGAGGAATTAATTCCTAAAATCCAGATTTTTAATACTCAAGGACTAGTATTTGACTAGTCAACCTTTAAGTTGTGTTGTACCTTGTGCTTTGAGGGAAGTTCCCTTGTTCCTTACACTTTCTAAATCTTAGTAAGGGTATTCTTGACTTTTCACCAAGAGTTAGCATTGTAACCTAACATAGAAGACTTCTTCATTTCATTCCTTACAATTCTTAGAAATTAGCTCCACCTTCTCTCTAGAAAAGAGGTGTAGTTTATTCTCCAAGCTAAGTTGAGACCCTTGTCAAGATTCCAAGTTTTGCTTCGGAGATTCAACCTTTTACCTATTTGGGCATCTAGGAGGGTAAGATCTAAGTCTATCTTGTGTTTTTGGTTCCATCTTAGTTGTCTTTTTCTTAAAGGTAGGATCTTTATGATCTTTTGGTTTGATCTTGAAGTGGGTTTGGAAAGTAAGCCTTGTAAGGAGCTTGTGAGGTGTTAAGTGAAGTCTTTTGGTCTACAAGAGGTAACCCATGCTCTACTAAAACCTATTTTGCTTACCTATATGTGATTTCTTAGATTCTACTTGTGCTTTGCTATGAAATGTGAGGGTTTATGCATTTGTCTTGTGATATTGCATATCTAGAGCTTGTGTTTAGGGTTCCTTTATGCCATTGCTTGGAATTTTCCATGATTCAAGTCATTTTGTTGTGTTTGGTGAGATTTGGCATGTTTTGGACTTGAATTTGTGTTTGGAGAAGAAAATCCCCGAAGGGATTTGTTGTGGTACAAGAGTGTACCTGCGGGCGGAACGGCGGGCGGGGCACCACCCGCCAGCCTACCCACAGGTACATAGCTTGTGGAATGATGTTCCCGCGGGCGGAACCACGGGTGGGGCACTACCCGTGGGTCTATCCGCGGGTACATGGTTGGTGTTGTGATGGGATTTGTTCCCCGTGATCCGTTTGACTCGGTATTTGGTCTTTTGACTTCCCGATGTTCTTTTGTGGAACTATTTGAGCGTCTTCTTGATGTTTCGTATGTCTAGAACTATATGGTAGGTATCCATGTAGGACTTTGGTGTCTTGAATCGTGCTAAGTGTTCAACATTGTGTTTCGTTGAACCGTGAGGTGTCTTGTGTGTTCCTCGGAACTATCTTGAGTTTCCCCGTTGATAAGCATGCTAGTTTGTTGTCTAAATGCTAGCGTGTGTGTCGTTTGTACCTTCTGTTTGGTTGATGATAACTTGCGTTATTCATCGTTGTTGTTGTTGGGCTGTGACCCGGTCCTTGATTGAGTATGTTTCATACCTTCGTTGTGATCCATTGTTTGACTCTTGTTGAGTTGTGGTGCGTGTGTGGCTTTACCTGGATTGCACGATTAGTGGTATGGGACGCTAGTCACCAAGGTATTGCAGTGGTCCTCGTGGCGGCCGTGGCGTGATTATGGAGTTGTGGCCTTTGTGTAAGGTTCACGTTTTTGGGGGATAACATGTGTTATCCGTGCATGTGTGCCATGTGCGTGATCGGTACCTCGTGTACTATGAATCGGTGGTTTGTGTTGGAGAACTGTCGGAGGGGGAATGACGATTCCCGGGGGAATAAGGTTGGACTGTATGTACAGGAGTCCTGGAGGTAAAGGTTGGAACTAGATGTAAGGTTGGGGGTAGCCATAAGGTTGGAACAGGGCATAAGGAAGGCATTTCAACTCGTGGCGGGTAATGTCACGAGGGCTTGTGTAGCCGTGGTTGTGTATTCTTATCTTGTGACGTGTGTAGTCACAAGGGCATGTGTTGCCGTTTGTCGTGTCTTTATCGTTGTGGTGTCGTTATCCGTTGTGGTCTTGGGATGTGTTCCCGTGGTATTTATTGATGAGTGTTGAGTCTTGAGTTGGTGTTTACTCTCGATTTTACACTTGTATATATGTATTCCGTTCCGAAATGATTTTTGTATATACCCTTCCGATGTATGATACTTAACAGGTATTGGTGGGTTACCAGCATTATCGCTGACCGGGCGTCGTCCCAATGTTTATCTTTGTATCTTTCAGGTGATGTCTAGACGAGCGCGATGTTAGTGGCCGGTAATCTAGTACCTTTACCTTTGTTTTGTGGCATGTGTGCCGTTGTAGTGTTAGACTGTTACCTTTTGGGATAGATGTATACACTTGCAGATTGATCGCTGTAGCCTTTACCGTGTTTGGTAGACGTGGCATAACACCCCGTTCGGATTTCTTTTATCAAGCTTTCGTTTTATCTTCTTCAGCTGTGCTAGTTTTGTGTATGATCTGCAGGTGTTAAGGCCTTTTATATAGGTCGTGTTTGGGGGGGTGTTACAAATACACCAAACAAGCGGACTCCGTTAACTATAACGGCGGACCATTTCTTTACTTAAAGAAACGGCGCCGTTTTTGACTGCGATGCACATGCACTGCGGTCTATGATATAGCGACTGTCATTCATAGCATCTAAGTTTATGGTACTCATACTACTCAGAAAATTAAATACCAGTACACCATCTAGGGTTCTGAGTCAAGAATGTGACAAAAGGGCTAATACCCTATAGGTCTACCGTTCAAGAGGCCGCAATACAACAGGATATCAACTACGACTAGAGATCTACACTACTTCCACTCTCGCTACTACTATACAAGGTTAAGTTTCTCATAGATTCTACTCTATATAGTTAGACTATATTTAGATCTAACATTGTACACTCATTATTTACACTAGATTTAGACTAAGAAATCTATAACTGTAACTGTTCAACAAGCATCGTATACACAATGCAAGGCAATAATGTTCATCAACTTGTGATTTTCATAAAATAAAAATAACTACTATACTATGTAAAATTGGAAAATGTGTTTCATTTGAGACCGAGATTCAACAGGTTTCGAAACTAAATTCAATTATTTATTTCATAACAGCTAAAATCTAAGCTGATAGTTAAACTACATATATATATATATATATATATATATATATATATATATATATATATATATATATATATATATATATATATATATATATATATATATAGAGAGAGAGAGAGAGAGAGAGAGAGAGAGAGAGGAAGGTTCAAGTGCGGCAGTGCACTTAGGTGCGGTGATGCGGTTAATTGTAGGTCATTAGATTAGATAAATTCAACGAATCACATTCATCAGGGCTTCTCCGATATTTTCGCGCACGTTCTCACACTACGCGAACTGCAAGGTTAAAGTCGTTATTGGGCACCAGGATAGATCAAATCATAGTGTTGTGTGTTTTATGTTCGTTAATGGTGCATTATTAACCTTACTGTGGTGTATTTGAGGATTCGTGTTGGTGCCAAGTTCAGGTGCGCCCGTGCCTTCTCATGCGGTCAGTGCGGGCGCACTAATAGTTATACAAATATACACCATCCATGTTAGAAAATGCACACCAAAAAAACATGCACAAATTAGATACGCATCACCAGAACGCACCATTAGGTCTGAATAAAAGCATCACACACTGTTCAGAAATACACCATTGGGGTGGTGAGTTATATGGTGTATTTTTTGGGTGTGTTGTGTGTTTTTTGGTGTATTTGTGCATTTCATTGTGGTGCTTTTTCCTAACACTATTGGTGTCTTTTGTTAACACTGTTGGTGTATTCTGACAAACGACCGATATAAATGACCACTATAATTACCATAACACCCCCCACTTACCAGGACGCGCTTAAATCTTTAAATCTTCAGAAATTAGCTGCTGTCGTTAGAATAAGCAGAATGGACGATGCTGATATGGTCGCACCGCCGCACCTAAAGCCACTGTCGCATTTGAGCGCTAATATATATATATATATATATATATATATATATATATATATATATATATATTATGCTCAACATGTAGTAAATAAATAAATAAAAACTTAAAATCTCCTTAGAGTAATGGTCTAGTGAATAATAAGTATCACTCAAGACGTACTTGCTTTTGGGCAGGACATGAGTTTTAAGATATAGCTAATCTGGTGAAGCCAGAAACCTAGTTTAAAAAAAAAAAAATAAATAAAAAAAAAAAAAAAAAAAAAAAACCCTTAAAACCATATTCTCTTATAAATAGGACACCCACTTTGGACCGCCAAGCTAAGCAGCATATATAGGTAGTTATCAAAAAAAAAAAAAAAAAAAAAAAGCTAAGCAGCATATATAGGTCTAGCCAGTTTAATGATATTGCCCATCTATCGTACTTGCGTGCATATCCGATCCATGTCAAGTTAGAACTCCGTCAAATTATAACCCTTACAGTACACGCATCAAGAATGGAAAAGTAAAATAGAAAATTAGTTTTGGGTAAGGGTATCAATGATTTAAGATATATACTTAACGTATTGGTGAAAAACATCATCCTTCAATGATGGATAGGATAGACTACCCGTCTCATGAAAACAAACCGACAAACTAATGCGAAATGACATTTCCGACGTAATAACAATGTGACGAGAAACTGAAATTTAGGAAATTAAATAGACAGATAATGCATTTGCAACTTCAAACAACACAAACAGACACATATAAATAGTCGGAATCCTTAAAACGAAATATTTGTAAGTAGACTGGGGTAGAGAGGATATGAAGATGGGTTTTGGTAGACTTTGTTTTCTAATGTTTCTTGCTGCTATCATTGGCCTCTCTGCTGCGTCTAGAATTGGTATCAATCTTCTCCCTAGTCTCTTTTGCAATCTTTAAAATCTCTCAATAAAAATGCCTTTCTTTAATTAATTTGTTTTAATTATTTAGTAGAATTCTTATGGTATATATATACAAACAAATACATATTCATGCACAATTTTTTTTTCAGATACAATATGAATTAATTTATCAAACAACAATTACAATATCCGTTAATTCAACAATTAACTTTACCACAAATTTTAATTTCAATTAGTTAGCTTATTAATAAACAACTAAACTAGTTTTTCAACTTTTAACTTTCAACTAGTTTTTTTGTTAGGCGTGTCAAACAAAGGCCTTGTTTGGCAATTAGCGGTTAGCGTTTGCGGATTGTATTAGCGGTTAACAAATAGCGGATTATATTAGCGAGTTTGACCAGCAGATTGTATCAGCGGTTTATAAAAAGATGTTTTGTAAAATTAGCTGTTTAGATTAGCGGTTAACATGTAAAATGACCAAAAGGGTATAATAATAATAATAATAATAATAATAATAATAATAATAATAATAATAATTTTTGAAATAATAATAATAATAATAATATAATAATAATAATAATATAATAAGAATAAGAAAAAAAAAAAACAAAAATGATGTGGAATAAAAATCCCACATCGAAAGTTAGAAAATAAATGGCGTTGAGCTCCCTTATAAAAGGGAGCTCAACGCCAATTAATTTCTCTTGCCCATCCCACATCGGATGGGCAAGAGAAGAGAAGCCTGAGGCTTCTTTATTTAAAGAAGCCTCAGGCTTCTTACTGATTAGTTTAATTTTTTTTTTTTAATAAAATAAAATGGAGGCTGTTTTGGGGAAGGAAAATCCTTCCCTAAAACGCCAACCCCAAACGCTGCTCCTAGCAGCGTTTTGGATTTCAGCGGTTTGGAGCAAACCGTTGCTCCAAACCGCTGATAACCAAACATGGTTTTTTTGGCGTTTTGACGGAAGTCAAAACACCAAAATAGTGTTAACCAAACAAGGCCAAAATTTATATAAATAAATCATATTATTACATCTCAGCTAGTTATGTAATAATATATATACACACATACATATTAATGGGCAATTTTTTTTAATTTTTTTTTGAGATACAATATAATATTGCAAAAAACACATGATTAGCCAATGAATAAATTAAAATTTGATGCATGTAATACTATTGTATTAATTTGTTGGTGTGTGCCTATGGTGAATCAGGAGTAGATGAAAACAGCGACCCTTATTGCTCTGACGAATGCAGAACTGGCATTGGCGGCTCGGATATCACTGAAAATTGCTGGAATTTTTGCAAGGCTCAGAATCATTATGACGGCTCCTGCGTGCGTCGAGGCAAAAATTCAAAACTGCTTTGTTGTTGCAGGTACTAACCCCTAAATGTTGCACACTAACCCAGAATTTGGAAACTTCCACAATATAATACTATTATTAATAAGTACTCTTTAAATTAAGATTTTCAAAATTTGTTCTCTGAATATGCATTGTTTTTTTTTTTTTTTTTTTAAGTGTATTGTGTTATAAATATTATAATTTATATGGATATTATTATGTAACGGTCGTATTTATGTCTCTATTTATATTTTCTGTTACGATTTGTAATGTATAATGTACCCAAGGATGAAGATGGAATAAAAGATTTAATTTGCACTTTGTCTTTGCATTTTACTATTCTCCTTTTCTTTGTATTGTTTACTTTAAGAATATGATCCGTTCCTCCGATGATGGCTACAAGCTAGAAGTTATAATCATAACATGTCATCAGCACAATACAAATTTTCGGTAAACGGTATGCTAATTTTCTGTTATAATTCATAATTATTCAAGTTGCCTATATTTTTGCATAATTTTATTCAGTTTATATGGATGCCGGAATTCGAAGTGTTTGGTTGCTGTTACTGCCGCCGACAATGTGTGGTCCGGGTTGCCTTTTTCATCAGCGGAAACTCCTTGAACCTTTGCTATAAGATCCAAATGAATTGCATGATCTTTAGGAATTAGGCCCAAAGTTAACACCCTTTTTTTTTCAACGGATCCGGCCAACTATGTTTTTTTCCGACATAGTTTCTTTGGTGCAGCAGCCACTGCTTCTCGGGCAAATTATGGTATGGACCACGGTCCATACAATATTATGTGGACCATAACAAAAAGTACATTTTTAATATACTAAATGTACATTATTTTTGTACTGAATGTACATTATATAATATAATGTACACTCAGAACAAAAATAATGTACACCCCCTGAATACAATGTACATTATTTTTGTATTGAGTGTACATTATTTTACAGTAGACAAAATATGATCTTCACAACTTGTGTGGACCATGGTCCACACAATAATGATTGTGCTTCTCCGGTTGGCAAATTTTACTATGGACCGCGGTCCACAATACATTGTGGTCCAGGCATCAAAACGGTGTCATTTCTTTTAATGAAAAGAAACAGTATTAGTTCTGTGCTATTCCGCATAAAGTAGCGTTGTTTGTATAATATATTCAGTTTCATTTTATATATATTGTAGTTTCATTTCAACACAACTACAGTTTCAGTTCGATATAACTACGGTTTCATTCGACATTATACACTCAAATATTTGAAACTGTTATTCAGTTTCATTTTATATACACTATAGTTTCATTACAACACAACTACAATATCATTTCGATATAACTACAATTTCATTTGACAATATACACTCAAATATGTGAAATTGTTATTCAGTTTCATTTTATATACACTGCACTTTCATTTCAACACAACTACAATTTCATTTCGATATAACTACAATTTCATTCAACATTATACACTCAAATATGTGAAATTGTCATTCACCAAGACTATGTGTTCTAATGGTACCCGGGTTGGACTTCCATTTGGAAGGTTACAAGTTTGAGCCTCAGTGGAGGCGTTATTGGTTCTTGGTTGAGAAAATATATGAACAGATACTACAATGTGATAGGGCCAGTAACATTAAAAAAAAAAAAATTGAAATTGTCATTCAATTGCATTTTATATATATTATAGTTTCATTATAACACAACTATAATATAATTTTGATATAACAACAGTTTCATTGGACAATATACACTCAAATATGTGAAACTGTTATTCAGTTTCATTTTATATACACTGCAATTTTATTTCAACAGAACTACAATTTCATTTCAATTCAATTACAGTTTCATTTGATATTATAAAAACAATATGTGAGATAGTTCCATTTTAGATATACTATAGTTTCATTTTGTAATTAACACACCAAAAATACGGGCTCTGTTACGATGTAACGGCAACCGTTTCTTTGGGTTAACCCACCAAAAACTAAATTTTAGGTGAACTTAATAGGTTGTTAGTTTGAAAATATTTTTAGTTATGTTGTATACAGATATAAATTTGGTTAGGATATCAAATGTAAAAATCTTACATATATTTGACCTAAAAGTACAAATTAAATTTATTCTATTTAAACCAGTTATATTTTAAAATATTTTAAATAAATGTCTAAAAATCACTAGAAATGAAACATGTGTTACTTTTATAACGTTAATCTAAAAAATAAATTTGAAAAAATAGGTGTTAGTAAACAAGTTCTCTAAACGGAAAACGGAGAATGAAAAATGGAGAATGAAATCTGATAAATTTGAAAACAGAAACAGTTTCCGTTAATAAACGGGCCCAGAATTTCTACACTAAAATAATTTGATTTCTCAATTATTAGTTTGAATTTAATTAGTTTAATATAATTTAGTTCGAACTTAATTAGTTTAATATAAAATAGAGTTAATACCTCCACTGGTCATCTAGGTATTAGGGGTTTACCAGTTGTGGTCCTTCGAGTTTTAAATGACCTCCAATGGTCCTCAATGTTTTAAAAAATAACCACCCGTGGTCCTTTTAGGACGTCTCGTGGTCATTTTAAACTCGAGTTATTTTAAGAATTAGGACCACGGGTGGTCATTTTTTAAAACATAGAGAACAATTAGAGGTCATTTAAAACTCGGAGGACCACAGCTGGTAAACCCCTAATACTCGGAGGACCATTGGAGGTATTAACTCTATTAACAAACATATAAATTTAGGGGTAAATAAGTGTTATTAGAAGATGTGCATTATTACTATACAAAATGTGGTGAATTCCTATACTGCGTGTTGTGCATCGATAACTTTATTGTTATGTATCCCAATGTCCTACAATGCACTGAACTATGTGCACTAATGTGCAGATGACTAACCTACGGTGCACAATTTACAACACTAATATGCACAACCAGCATACCCGAATGCACAATCGTACTACCCAGACACTTGTACATATACACGACAATCAAAATATAGGCAATATTATACTCAAAAGAACGAGCAAAAATAAAAATAAAAAATACTGATCATTTTGCATGGGCGAACACTCAATCAATGATGAAGAAATTGCGGCTCCAAATTGCAATTGTGATGATCCAAGAAAATTAGGAACCCAATTTTCGAACGTTATAATGTGCAACCGTGTGCATCATACAAGGTGCGCACGGTTCCAATTCATAATTTCTATACTGTAGATTCATAATTTCTATACTGTAGATTCATAAAACCTATATTGTAGATTCATAATTTGTAAACCGTAGATTCATAATTTAAATACAGTAGATTCATAATTTCTATACAGTAGATTCATGATTTCTATACTGCATCTGTATTGTAGATTCATAATTTATGTACTATAGATTCATAATTTCTAAACTGTATAGTTATCAAATTATGAACATATAGTTCTGTGATTTGTGAATATAGAGTTCAACAATTGGGAATATGAACATCGAAAATTATGAACATATAGCTCTATAATTATGAACATATATTTATAAAATTATGAACATATAGCTCTATCACATGTTCACAAATCTAATACTGCAGATTCATAATTTCTATACTGTAGATTCATAATTTAAATATAGTAGATTCATAATTTCAAAATTGTGCGATTGCGAAGAGAGAATGGAATGTTTGAATGCGAAAAGAAATCGCCTAACGCCGTTAACGGCAATGGAAAAGGAATTTTGTTTTTGTTTTTTTGTTTTTTTGTTTTTTTGTTTTTTTTTTTTTTTAAATTTGGAACGGCATCCTTTTGCAATAGTGCATGTGCACCATGCATGGTGCACACAGTTGCACAGCATAATTTGACAGTCAAGGATTACACATGCTTTCACACTTTAAAAAAAATAGAAAAAGACACTATTACCCTACTTTAACAAAAAAACCAATCCATGTCATCTTAGGAAATAAAATCTAGTCATCCAAACAAAAAAAAACGATTGCACAAGATTAGTCCTCACGTCCTCACCTAAGGATGGGTTCTCATTTTATCCTCTCTCTCTCTCTCTCTCTCTATATATATATATATATATATATATATATATATATATATATATATATATATATATATATATATATATATATATATATATATATATATATATATATATTTCTAAAATCATAATAAGTCTCGATCAAAGTTGTATCCCTAATTTATGTCCATGTTTTTAGTGTTATCCATTTTGTACGTTATGCTTTTAGAGTTGTACTATATAATTTTTTGGACAAAAATACTCTTACTGTTATAACTTCCACTATCTTTTCCATTACTTTTACCATGCACATGCATCCAATATATTTTTTCTTATATTCTTTAATGATAATAATATTTGTAGACATTATAACAAATAAATTTAATTTCATTTAGCTTTTAATTAGTAAAAATTTGTTAGTTATTTTTAAAATTTTAACATAAAACTATTGGGCATATGTTTTGGCACATCGCGCATAGAAAAGACTAGTGTGTGTATATAAGCAGATTCAAGTGCAGTCGTGCCTTAACATGCAGTCAGTGCGGCCGCACCAATAGTTATGCAAATATGCACCAACAATGTTAGGAAATGCACAACAAAAAAAATGCACAAATATGAACCATTAGGTACGCATCACCAAAAGCGCACCATTAGATATGAATAAAAGCACCACAGAGTGTTCAAAAGTGCACAATTAGGTGTTGAGAATTATGGTACATTTTTTTGGTGTGTTGTGCGTTTTGTGTGTATTTTTACATTTCATTGTTGTGCATTTTTTAACACTTTTGGTACCTATATATATATATATATATATATATATATATATATATATAGGCGGGTTCAGGTGCGGCAGTGTCTTACGGTGCGTTTATTTCTTACGGTGCGGCAACACCAATAGTTCACCAAATATGCACCATCAACGTCAGGAAATACACCACACAAAACAGAGTGAACAGAGCCCTGCATCACCAAACACACACCATTAGGTGTGAGTAAAAACACCATACACTGTTCGGAAATACACCATTGGGGGTGGTGAGTTATATGGTGTGTTTTTTTGAGTCTGTGGTGTATTTTGTGATGTTTTATTACATTTCATTGGGGTGTGTTTTTATTACACTGTTGGTGCATATTGTTAACACTGTTGGTGTATTCTGGAATTTGACCGCACCGCCGCACCGTAAGACCCCGCCGCATATGAGCGCTCTTATATATATATATATATATATATATATATATATATATATATATATATATATATATATATACATATATATATATATATATATATATATAAACATAATAAGTGT